GCACACGAGTGGCCTCGGCCCCGCCTCCAGGCCTTTGTGCGCTCACCCTCCAGGGAGGGGGGAGGGGGAGCGTGACGGTCGGGCTCCTCAGCCTGCTCCTTCCCCGGCCTCACCCTCCCGCAGCCCCACATTGGTGCTAGGGAGGCGGGTGAGCCGAGTGAATGCGGGGGCGCTTGCCGCTGCGCCCCGCTCAGTAGCCCCACAAATGCCTGGTCTCCAAAGCAGACCTCCTTCCCGGCCTCCCCCAGCCCGGCTCCCCGGGTTTTGGAGGTGGGGGGAGGGGCACGCGAAGGGATCCAGGTCAAACCGCCTTCCAGTGATGCGACCACCTGGGCCTGAGTTGGGGCTGAAGGGCCTGGTGCGAGGAAGAGGGTCTCCCTTCCTGCGCCCGGTGGGGCCCCAAGTCCGCACCCGGTGGGTAACTGGCCGGGCAGGAAGCAGCCTGGGCAGGAAAGGAGGCCCATCCTGGCGGCTTTCAAATACAGGTGTTCCCCTTGGGCCCCGCCCCGCCTTTGGTCTGTTGGCAAAGGTGGGTGTCCAGGTATCCTGGACAGGCAGCAGGGAGTAGGGGCAATGCACCAAAATGGGGGGCCCGCAGTCCCTCTAACCGGCCTGGTCTTGTGGGCACTGGGGCGGGGGACCTGAGCCTTCATTGCGTTGGATTGACAAGAGGCCCACTGGCAACTCCGAGGGGATGCGTGGCCTTCAGCCTGCTGGCCCCAGCAGCTCCCTAGGAGCAGGCAGTGGAGGCCTGGCCGCCTGTGCACTTGTCCAACACTTGTGTGCTTGTCTGTCTACTGCACTTCCCAGCCTCCCCCAACCCACAGGACCCAGCAGCTTCTGGAGCCAACTCTGGAGGGCGACCAGTGTGGTGTGTCCGCTAGGACGCCAGAGGCCCAGGCACCGGCGCCTGACCTTGAGCCATTTTTTCAACAGCCTTTTCGTTTGCCTGCCACGGAGTTGCCTGTGGCCACGCTGGTTTATCTGCCTTCCCTCCCGCTTGGAGGGAACGGGGCTAGAGACCTCAATGGAGCCTTCCTTCCCAGCGAGCAGAGGGGCCCCTCCTGTTGGAACGAAAGTTAATGAAGCTGGCCACACCTAAGGACGCACCTGAAAAATCTACCTCCACCTGAGATGGGGAGGGGGAGGTCGGTAGTGATGGATCTAAAATTCCATTTACACATTCAGAATCGGGGGGAAAAGAGTCTGGGCCATGAGAAATCCAGAGCTTTGTTTTATTAGAATCTGTGAAGACAGTTTGCAGATACAGTCTTGTTGAGTCGTGAGTTGCCACAAAGTTCTGTGAAGCTTGAACAAGACCCATTTGAGAATCTAGTTCCTTATTCCAAGCAGACGAGAGGTATAGCATTACGGCCAACAACCTTTATACTAGTCATCCCGTTAGGCCATTTCCCGGCATACGTATGCGGCTTAATCACAGCTATTTTGTCTCTACAATGTGAAGTTCGATCGCCGACTAATATTGCATTTTGACTCCTGGGTATATTGGTGCATGCGATTCTGGGCCACCCTGGCAGTTAACCAGACCTGGACGCTAAAATCTAAACTTGATCTAAATATCATTCTAGGGGGAGGGCAGGCTCTGTGAACTGGACGCATCTTGGCCACCGCTACGCACACACGCTCGCAGGGCTCCTCCTCCTCCCTCTCTTGTCTGTCACTCGTCTGCGGTTGAGCACAGACGAACGCCTGCTGTGTGCGGAAAGGGCAGGTACAAAGGAAACCCTTTGACCGTTCTGCTTCCAGGAAAAGTGGACATCGGATAACACGCCAGGGACAGCTGAGTGATGTGTCAAGACAACAGGCCTTGCAGCAACTTCCTAAGGTTAGAAAACGTGTCCGAGTGTACTTGCCCACCCAGTCTGCTTACTCGCGAATATTTCCTCGGGGTAAAGGGGAGCAGGGATGGGTTTGGGGGATGCCTTCTAAGGAGTTCCACTCTTGGGACTGCATCTCTGGGGCCAGAAGCAAGTCCAGTAAAAGGACCACTCCCTCTCCACCCTCTATTTGCCCACACTTCCCGTTTCAACCGGCTGACAGTAAGATAAATAGACAAGGAGACGGCCTTAATGCAAGGCGGGAAAGGCCTTCCTTAGCCAGAAAGAGGGGGACTTGACCATGTCAGCCACCCTGACGCCTGATCCAGTGAAAGAGCTGGATCTGCTCCCACCGAGGCCTCCTTTGACCCTGGCGACCTGAGCACCTCACACCCGTCGACCCCACTTGGCCCCCAGAGGGACTGCTCTGTCCCACCAGGAGAGCGGGGCAACCTGCAGGCCCGCAGAGCGTTTCCTGCAGAGCCCCTGCTTACGGAACCCAGCGTTCAGCTCGGAGACCGGACAGGAGAACCTACACATCATTATGCTCCCTGAACTGTAAACGGTGACCCTTTGGGAAGGACGCGTGTGTAGACGAGTCTGATGAAGCTGCTGACCCGGAGGCCCATCTGCTCCGCGTATTCGGACCCCAGGCACCTCTGTCTGTTGCTCGGTCTTGCGTCCACAGTCCATAGGGTAGTATCGGTACAAACTGAGGAGCGGTCAGCGCAGGGAAGAAAGGAAACCAGGGGAAGTTAAAGGCAGCAATGTCATCAACAAAATGCAAAGAGCATTTTCCTTTTGTTTTTAAACAAACAAAAAAAAGCACATTGTAGAAATAAAGAATCTGTACAATATTCTGATACTGTCTGTACATAAAATTATGTTACTTATAACGAAGTTGAAAAGTCCTGTGTGTAGAGGATGGCTGGTCACACCGGAGACCCGGAGCAGGTGCTGGGGAAGCAGAGCAGGCAGCAGGGACACCGGCAGCACCTCTGCCCGACCAGCGCGCCCGTGGCGGAGGCGTGACTAGCACCCCCTAGTCGTGGTCCGTGGTGTTGCGCGCTCTACTAGGGAATTCTGCGGCAGGCGAGGTGAGGAGGGAGACATGTTAAAATGACATGAAAATGCTCGTTCACATCTGCGTATTGGCTGAGGATGGGTTTGAGAATCCAATGCGCATGGAAGTAGGTTCGCTCGGCCTCCCTCCGTGCGTTACGCATGCTCCCAGGGATTTAACACGGGAGCGGGCTCCAGCGGGCGGGAGAGACGGCTCTGAACAGATCGGGTGGGCTGTGATCAGACCCGTGGTTCTTTCTCAACTGGTCCCGGAAGGTTGGAGAAGACTGTCTGCGAGGCGGGAAGGAAGGAGAGCGCAGGCCCCACCGCTGGTTCCTCAGCAGCCCCTTTCTTAGGCGCCTTCTTCCTCCCCAGGCCCCTCCCGTGAGGGTCAAAAGGGCCTCCTCAAGCCGGGTGGGGCCCCAGCCCCACTCACCAGAGGGCAAGTGTGGGATGGCTGCTCTTCCTGCAAACCCTGCCCGAGGGGAGCCCGGACCGACGGGAAGGCCCGGCGGCAGCTCTGGTTTGTGTGTCAGCTTCCGACAAGACCCTAGTGAGGAGCCCTCACGCACAGGCACAGCTAAACCGCAGTCCCCGCAGCGTCTACTGAAATCGCAGCCCTGGTCGCCTCACCAAGACGGGACTTCAGTGCATAAAAGGGATAGGATCCAGGAAACTGTTTTTTCTTTTTCCTTTACGTCTAGCTGGTGCACAGTATTATACCAGTCGTAACAGTTCCAGGTGTACACGGTAGCAATTGGACATTTCCAGGAACCTGCGTTTAACCAGCGCCCTCATGCAGGAGACTCACAGAGCGGCTTTGGAGGACACCTGGCTTGGCCCATCCAGCGTAGACCTACGGATTCCTTTTGGACGGACTTTAAAACTGATGACTTCAATCAAACGTCTCATAGAACAGATTCGCTGCCCATGAACTACCAATATATCCCTTTGAAAATGTAGGAATAAATGGCCAAACCCTTTAGGGGGAGGAGTGTGAGCTGGGAGGACGGAGTTCATTTGAAATATGCATGTTTTCAAGAAGAGGAGCTGTTCCGGACTCCTGGGCAACCACATTTCCTCACCGGGACGTCCTGGAATTACTGATGAATTCGGAAGTGGGGACTTGGCCTTCTGACGCCAGAAGTGACACGGCGTAGGGGACGTGCCGGGAGCTCTTTAACGTTCGTTTCCATCGCAGCGAGCTTCTACCTGCTGAAACGCTGAGGTGTCAGCTCTCCCCTCACACCAGTCCCCGGGGACCAGCCCAGCCACAGTGATTCTCCACGGAACCAATTTGGAATTTAAACGCGAACCTAAAATAGCGCCCAGTGTAGGCAGTCTCCTCCCACCCGTGAAACGCGCTCCGGCTTCCCACTGAATCTCCACTCTCAATCGCATGACCAGGAAAAGCAACGAACTGCAGATGGGGTGGGGGTGGGGGGGCACTTTACAGCAACTGCCGCCAAAAAAGGCGAAAGGAAAAGCCTCAGGAAGATGGAGAATCTCGTCCTGCTCAGCGCTCACCTTTCGGCTCCAGAAGGACAGCCGCAGAGCATCCTGGGTTCTGCTCGGCGGAGGGGTGTTGAGAGCGAGCTGAGGGTTAGGGGTAGCCTTTAGGTGCAGAGATGTCCCGGCTCCCTCGCCGGGTGGGTGTTCCGCCACGGGGGCCCATGCAACCAGCTGCTCTCCCTTGGGTTTCTTACCCCCAAACCTCAATCTGAATTTCCCGACGCCGGTGCGCCCTCAGAAACCCCTCCGTGCTTCTGGCCCTGGTATTTCCAGCTCTAGTCTCATCCGCCCTGCTGCAGCTCGGGTGCGCCGTGTCAAGGGTCAAGGGCAGGGAAAGGACAGTCAGGGTTGAGGTCGGCAGATGCAGGTGGGCTGAGTCCGAGGGTCAGGCCGCCGGGAGGGCCCGTCAGTAATTCAAGAAGTCGATCCCCACCTTGACGCTCTTCGAGGTGGCGACGTCGATGGCCATGGCCTTGATCTCGGTGTCCCCGAACTGCATGAGGGTCTGGATCTCCCTCCGGGCGGGCGCGGTGCCGCCGGTGCCCGTGAGGTCCAGGCGGAGCGTGCCGCACTTGCGCACCCCGGGGTCGGTGATGAAGCTCACGTTGTCGCGCTCGGAGCTGTACACGTTGATGACGATGACGAGCTGGGAGGGCTTGGCAGGCGTGTAGCTGCGCTTGACCAGCTCGCCCAGCGCCACGGACTGGTCGGCGGCGATGAACTTGTCGAAGACGTCGGTGCACCAGCGGGTGCCGTCCTTCACCAGCAGCTTCTCGGGCGGGTGCTTGCCCTCCACGTAGCGGTTGAGCACGCCCACCCCGTAGGTGAGCGGGGACCGGCGCACCTTGATGACGGCGGGGTCCAGGCCGAAGAGCACGGCGCCCTTGAGGATGGTGAGGCCCACGTCCTGGGGGATGATGATGCGGCACTTGTCCCCGAAGGCGGCCTGGACCGCCTGCTGCAGGAGGGGCGCCTCCGCGAAGCCGCCCACCAGGAAGAGGAACTTGACCGTGGACACCTCGGGCTTCTGGAACAGGTCCCCTGCGAGGGGAGGGAAGGACACCGTCCTGTCACCAGAGCCAGCAGCGCAGGGACGGGGTGGCCTGAGCATGTGGGGCGTGGACACAGCCACCTGGAGGACAGGCTCGGTGTGAACAGAATTTGTGGAGAGCTGGTCCTTTAGAGAGAGGGGGTTTGCACACCACTATGCTCGGAGCATGAGCCAAAGCTACTAAGTAGACACCATTTTAGCAGAGATGGTGATCATGTAAAGTAGTCATTTGCGATGCCTAGAGGCTACTCCTAACCCTCACAAACCTGTGGCTCTGCTAAGGAAGGCAAGGCAGGCGCTTATAATGTTACTCTGTGGGCCCTGGCTGGTGCGGCTCAGCTGGGAGTTGTCCCAGGCACCGAGAGGCTGCTCCTTTGATTCCTGGTCAGGGCACCTGCCCGGGTTGTAGGCTCAATCCCCGGTAGGGGGCCTGCAGGAGGCAACGGATTGATGTCTTGCATTGATGTTCCTCTCTCCCTCTCCCTTTCCCTCTATCTAAAAAGCAATAAGAATATTAAGTAAATAAACAAACATTATTCTTTGGTTTTCGTAGGGGTTGTGATTTGGTAGGTGGGGGGTAGGGAGTGGGGGGGGCTTAGATACTGAAAAGGGTCCCCGGTGAGTCCCTGTGTGGCCCCGGGGGAGGCCACGAGGCAGCAGAGAGCAGCGTGGCCAGACGCTGTCTCCCCTCCTGGGGACCTTTCTCTGGCTCACACTCAGTGCCTTCTCCCAGCCAGGGCTGTGGTTCCTGATCTTTCCACAGAAAGCAAAGACCACATTGCCCAGGGCCCGTGGCTGGAGGTCATTCTGCCACACAGCCCCCAGCTCACTGCCTGGGGAGCCAAAGGGAAAGGGGGGTGAGGACGGTGCTTGGCTGCTTCCGGTCCCCGAGGGCCTGTGGCTGCCAACCTGACTTCACATGCCTGGTCGGTGATGCTGGAAAAGTCAGTCCCGTTCGCGGCTCTGCCCGAGCCGCCAAGCCCCGGCTGATACTCACGCAGATGCTCGATGATGCTGTCGATGGTTGGCTTGAAAAGGGCGTTCATGGCATCGGGGCTCATCCTCAGCATCCCCTGGGAGGACCACTTCACAAAATCCACGCTGTGGGGGGTGGCACAGAGAGGGACAGTGGTGAGCGGACAAACTACACCCACAGGGCAGACACGGCCCTGGCAGCACAGCTGTCAGCTCCAAGCAGCGGGGCAGGGGGGCGGGGGGTTAGGTTCTTGGAAATACCCTCCCCTGCCAGGCCTGAGCCCCTGGACGCTCCAAGCTAAGACTCAGCCTCTTCTGTTTCTCTTTGCCTCCATGTGGCCACCCTTCCCCGGGGAAGTGGGAGCCGATGTCAAGTGCGAAGGACAAGGAGGTAAAGGGATTGCATCGCTCTCGTTTGGATGACCGCACTTTGATGCAACAATGGTTGGATGCGAGTCCATTAGCGGCTCACTGTGCTGCTACCTAAGGCTACCTGTGTGCTCGGTGCAGGCACCTGTCCCAGGACAGGGAGAAGCCTGCTCCTGCCGGTGCCCCTCACTGTCCCTGTCGAAGGGGCAGCGTGCAGCAGCAGGAGCACTGGACAGGGAGTCAGGCTGCTGGGCTCCAGCCTGGCCCCACCACTCAGTAGCCATGGGACCTCGGGCAAGCATTTTCTCTGAGCCCCGGCTTTTCGTCTGCAAATCAAGGCGAATACCATTTGCCTTACCTCCCTCACAGGGTTGTTGTGAAAATCAAGTTAAAAACCACATCTGGGAAAACACTCTGGAAACTTCCTAGCATGAAAGGAACGTCAGGGACTGCGGAGTACAGTGCGCACCCGCCTGCTCTCAAGGTCAAAGGGGCCGAGCTAACGGTGGCTCCGTCCCGGCAGCGTAGCACCTCCCGCTCCTCCAGCAGCACGTTCTAGATGCCGCCCTGTCTCAGGGACCAGGAATCCTCCCAGGACCTGGGCCGGAGGACAGCGTGTATGGTGTGGGGTGACCCACGGGCTGGCCGCAGCCAGTCTCCGCAGAGAGGGAGGCCCCGGAACTGTGCGGACAGGACATGGGAGACAACCAGACGCAGGTGCCTTCTGCAGGGGCCAGGGCAGAGAGAACGGCAGCCTGGGAGGGTCTGGCGAGGACCCTGCTCCCAGGGCACAGCAGCCTGGAGTCAAGTCCGCTTCGTTTCCCCTGAAAGGAGCCAGGGCGTCTCAGAGAGCAGCCGATCGCTGGTGTGGTGGGGAACGTACAAGGTGAGTCAGGGGCACCTCACTGACACAGGCGGAGACTGTTAGAGACCACAAAGGGCCTGGCCAGCGCGGCTCCCTGGTTGAGCATCAACCTATGAACCAGGAGGTTACGGTTCAATTCCTGGACAGGGCACATGCCCAGGTTGCGGGCTTGATCCCCAGTGTGGGGCGTGCAGGAGGCAACCGGTCAATGATTCTCTCTCATCAATGCTGTTTCTCTCTCTCTCTCCCTTTCCCTTCTTCTCTGAAATCAATAAAAACATAAAAAAAGGAGAAGGAAATAAACCGCAAAGGCCGAGGCAGCGGGACTCAGGAGCCAACCTGAAGGGGCTCCCACCGGCCAAGACGGGACAATTGGAGCGTCACTGAGGATGGAACCGCCACGGTTACACATGCATCAGATGTGCTAAGTCCATGCGTTCTTCATGGCACTCCCCCCGGCGCCCCGCAAAGGGGAACAATCATTTGGAGGAGGCTATGAAATCAATAGTTCTTTACACAGAGACTGTACAAATGGAAAGAGAGAACCCAGCAGTAGCCCTGTCTTCCTCCTGAACTATGAGTGAGGGCAGCCAAGCCATGAGGAGTTTCTCTCGGCTCCACTACCGGATGCCCCGGGCCAAACGCAAGTCCAACTCACTTGCTCTTCCGCAAGGCGTGCTCCACGCTGTGCCCTCGGAACTTCTTGTAGTAATCGATGAAGGAAAAGGGCAGGGTGATGTTCAGCGGGTTGGTGCGGTCCGGGGCGGCCGCCCTTTTGCGAGACTCGAACGCAATCATCAAGTCCACCCAGGCGGCGGGGCGCTTGATTTTGAATTGCTCGATGAAGTCCTCTCCAAAAATCTTACACAGGAGCTTTTCAAATTCGTAATCGACTCCTAAGGATCCATAGGGTCCCCCTGCGCCAAGAATGAAACGGAGTCGCCGTGTTAGAAACGCTGAGAACAGGGCCCCGATTCTGAGGCCACCCTGCTCTTCTCCCAAACACACAATGGAGCACAGCTAGGACCTCACTGGGGTTCTCACTCCTCATGGGGAAGCTTTCCTCCAGACGCCACTCGGCAGTAACCTGTTTGCAGTCAGTTACACTTTAAATAAAAGCAATACATTTCAGTCACTACGAGTATCACGGTTTCCTCTGCGGTTTCCTCCGCAGACACCCAGGACAGGATCGGGAGCAGGCAGGCCTCGCTTAGCCCCTGGGTCTACTCACTCCTCATCACCACCTCCCCGACCAGGGGTCCTGGGGCCCTCCCAGAAGGCTTAGCCATAGCCCCGAGCCACACGTGTCTTCCGGCTGCTGTCACATCCTTCCATAACTTCCAGGAGCCACTTTCTCGGCCAGGATGTGAGACAGGCTCCCTGGATGCCAAAACCCCAGGGATGGAGGTTTGTGTTTGAAAGGACATGGAGCTGCGCTTTTGCTTTCCAATGTTCAATAAGCCTCAGAGCCGCCCGGCCGGCGTGGCTCAGTGGTTGAGCATCGACCTCTGAACGAGGAGGTTACGGTTCGATTCCCGGTCAGGGCACATGCCCTGTTTGCAGGCTTGATCCCCAGTGTGCGTGCAGGAGATGCCCTGTTTGCAGGCTTGATCCCCAGTGTGGGGCGTGCAGGAGGCAGCTGATCAATGATTCTCTCTCATCATTGATGTTTCTATCTCTCTCTTCCTCTCCTTTCTCTCTAAAATCAATAAAAAAATATTTTTTTAAAAAAAAGGAATTATGAAACTTATCTTAAAAAAAAAAAAAAAAGAAGCCTCAGTGCTTTCTCCTGCCGACTGTCCCATGTGCTGGCAGCACCGAGACAATGACAAACAGAGAAGTCGGAAAGGAGTGGCCCGGCTCAGGTAGGAGAACATCCGCCGTGCAGCGCTCACCTGTGGCTTTATACAGTTCCTTAAGGTGTCCCTCTGGTAACCGTATCTGATGGACGGTCAGGTCTACGGTGCCACCGCCACTGTCCACAACCACATACTTGTCACCTGGCAAAAAAAAAACACCAGCCATCCTTCACATAGACCGCTTGTCAACCCGTCCTGAAACGGGCTGGTGGGCGATGACGGGTACCCCACCCTTCTCATTAGTGCAATGGGTTTGCTAATTAGTGGTGCAGCGGGTTATTCGTGACTAAAGAGAAGGCAATGATGTCTGCTAGGAGCGACGGTTAGCATGGACGATCAAGAGCCCAGATGCGTGGATCTTTAAAACTACAGCATTCGTGCCACGCGCTGCTGCATACCTGGCATGACCCAGCGGACAACCTCCTGCCAAGTGAATAGCACCAGCAAGTGGCCGGCTGTTTAACTGAAGACTTGTCCATCCTGGAACCAGTGAGTCCCAGTCCCTACCTTTCCTCTGAAGAGTCTATGGCTTTAACACATGCAAAACCACAGCTCCACAAAGAGCCCTCCCTGGGGGAGTGGTCTTTAAAACCGAGTGATTTTGAACATTCTCCAAAAGTGCAAAAGGGACAAGTAGGAATGCAGTTTTGCCAGCAGCAGCAGCAACACACACACACACACGCACACGCACACATATACACACACAATCCAGCAAAGGCAAAGGACATTCAAGGACGCTACCTTCCTCCAGCTCGGACCAGATCTCGCCTATGACATTCTCCACCAAAAAAGTCCGGCTCTGCCGATTGCGCCGTACGTGTTCCTTAGCTAGTGGCCGACAGAAAGAAAATGATGGCGGGTGAGAAAGCAGGACAGAGCGGCCGTCATCTGCAGTCAGTGGAGGCAGCAGCGTGAGCAGGTCAGGGACAGAACACTCAGTGAACCGTGACCAAACAATTACAGGAATGCCACCCGGGAATTCCAAAATAGTTCTCCCAGGACGAGCAGCTATCGCCCCGGCCTTCACCGCCCCATCGGTGGGGCAGCCTCAGCCTGGGCCCTGCTGGAAAGCTCACCTCGCCGAAAGCCCATCCCCCAGTGACTTTCAGGGGGATGGGTTAATAAAATCGACCAATTTCCTGGCTTTGCTGTACCCGGGAGGCAGCTGTCTGCCAAGCAGCCGTCAGTGCACTTGGTTAAACAATTTCACACCAAGGAATCCTGATACAAGGAGAGTGGGTGCTGATCAGGATCCTGGATAAACTGGACGCGAGTCCTAATCTGGATCCTGGATCAATTGTATAGGAGCCATTTCCTGACCTTGTTGAAGCCAATACCCTCTTTGACCACAAGGTGGCGCATCAGCCGCTGGCAAAGCCAGGCACCAGTTTCCTAGGCCTGCAGGACAACCTGGCGGTGACACCATGCGTGGGGATTTCGCCTCCCACTGGCCTCCCCACAGCGCTGTGAGGTGGACAGGGCATAAATCATGGCCCTACGTTAAGGTGAGGAAACCAGGTCAGGGAGGTTAGGAGACCAGTTCCCACACTGTCTTGCAGCCCCAAATTAACCCTCCATCCAGGGACCCTCATGCCTTTGAGATTTAGCAGTTTACAGTGAAGTCTGAAAAAGCAGACTACAAATGTGAAGAACCAGGAAAGGTGCTGTGAGAGGGTACCTGGGAGGCAGCCGGGCACAGCCACGGTGGGAATTTGGGCAACTCAACCCCCCACACCGGGCCTCAGTTTCCTCATCCATAAAATGGGTATAATAATACATGGCCTAAGTTCCTCACAGGCAGAGCAGGGACTGGCTCTCTGATTTGTCCTAAGCAGCCAGTGTGACACCTGCTCACAGTAGGTGACAATGAAGGTGAGCACCAAGTCTGAGACCCGGTGCCCACCAAACCATCACTACCACACGCCATGGAGAGCGAGCACCTATTTTACAGATCAAGGCTCCGCCCACAGCTCTGCTGCTGTGAATTCTTTAGTCCCTGGGAGGGTGTTGCAGACCTTGTATCTGTCTGCAGCTGTTTATCCAACAAAGGACCCTTGACCCTCTAGCCTCTCAGCAAGGAGCAGTGTTTGCAAAACAACATCTCTGGGGGTTGGGATGGCAAGCACTGGGCCAGCTCCGAGTTCCTCGGGCCCTGCTTTACGGTGGAGAGGCTGTCCCGGTGAAAGAGTCTCTGCAGGCTGGTGTGGCTCAGTGGTTGGGCGTCGTCAGGTGCACAGAAAAGTTGCTGGTTCGATTCCTGGTCCAATTCCTGGTTAGGGCACATGCCCAGGTTGAGAGCTCAATCCCCACTAGGGGGCATGCAGGAGGCAGCCAATGGATGTTTCACACTCACATCAATGGTTCTCTCCCTTCCTATCTCTCTAAAAAGCAGTGGTTCTCAACCTCCCTAATGCCGCGACCCTTTAATACAGTTCCTCATGTAGTGGTGACCCCCAATTTCATTGTTACAAATTGAACATAATTAAAGCATAGTGATTCATCACAAAAACAATATGTAATTATATATGTGTTTTCTTAGGCGACCCCTGTGAAAGGGTCGTTCGACCCCCAAAGGGGTCGCGACCCACAGGTTGAGAACCGCTGCTAAAAAGCAATTTAAAAAATCTTTTTTTTGTTAATTCTCACCCAAGGATATTTTTCCATTGATTTTTAGAGAAAGTGGAAGGAAGCAGGAGAGACAGAGAGAAAGATAAACATCAATGTGAGAGAGACACATTGGTTGGCTGCCTCCCGCACGGCCCCGACCAGGGCCAGGGATCGAACCTGCAATGGAGGTAAAAGCCCTTGACTGAAATCGAACCCGAGACCCTTCAGTCCTGGGGCTGACACTCTATCCACTGAGCCAAACTGCAGGGCAATAAAAAATATTTAATAAATAAAAGGAGTTCCGTAGGCCTAGGAGGGACCCCCACACGGAGGCCTCTCTCCTGTTCCCAGCACCGGCTCCAGATGAATTTCTATTGCAGATCTTTAGTGGGCATTTGGTTTCCTAAAACAACCTGGATGACTAATGAAATGGCATTCATAAAAAACAGCCAAGCGAAGCTAATAAGACATGTTCTGAGCTCTCAAAAAATTTATCCTATTTTTCAGGCAAATTAAGCCCATTTTGTGAAAAATGTGCCCTTTACGGCGCTCATTAAATCCTCCTGGTGTAAAATAAAATACCCACAGCAAACCCTGCAGTGCGGGGGGCAGAGTGCTGGCTCCGTTCTCCCCCACGGGGTCCTCCAGTTCCACCTGAAGGAGCCCCCAGCAGGGGCGGCCGGGGGAGGTGTCTCGGGCACCCCACCCTCCGGGTACTCCTGCTAAGTGCTCTGCCAGGCCTCCGACAGCACCGTCTTCCTGGGAGAGAGGTCCCAACTGCAGCCCGAGGCTGAGACAGAGCCCTGCCTCCTGCCCCTCGGAGGGGCGCTGGCCAACCACTTGGGGATTTAAAAACCCTACAGACCCTCTGAGCACATGGGACCACAGCCAAGTCCACAGGCACAGGATACAGGACGGGGCGGGTTGGGGGAGACGGGACGTGTGCGAGGAAAGGAAGCCAGGCTGAGCTCCCGGGGAAAAGCATTCCAAACAGCTTTCCCCTCAGGTTAGGGGAAATGGTGGGAAGAGCGGCCCTAGAATTAGCTAATTCTCCTGGATTTCTTTTTATGAACAACTAAGGGAGAACCAGCAAGTGAGAGAAGAAGCCCAGTCCCTCCTGGTCTTTTCCATTAAAACAATGAAGGTGGAGATTTACATAAGCTTGTCATTCCGTGTGCTTTAAACAGCGCCGTCCCACTCTTTCACTCTGTGCGGGAAGAAACCAGGGCTCGGAGAAGCAGGGTGGCCTGTCCCGGGTTCCTGGGAGGTGGGCCTCTCAGTCTCTTAGGCTCCAAGGTACCTGACCCGTAAGCGGCCGAGCGGCCCCGGCCCAGATCTCGCGCCAGCTGACCTGGTCCGCAGCAAGGCTGCCCTCGGCCTGTCCTGGGGCCCAGCACTGCTACACAAGGGCAGGTCAAGCCCTGGATTTAAAGGGAAGCCTGCTCCCCATATTCCGGGTGACTCAGATCCGAGGTGCCCACATCGGGACCTGGCAGGCAGGGGCAGCAGCTCGGGGACAAGTGAACTTTGTGCCACCGTCTGGTGGCTGAGGCTCACAGATTCCCCGGTCCTGGGTGAAAGTGCAGGGCATGGGCCCTGGCGCAGCGACCCCGCGAAGAGGAACGGGAGAGGCCCGTGGAGATGGCCTCGGGGTGGGGACCACGGAAAACTTAGGACGAGGGCTCTAGGGGGAGCAGCCTGCGGCAGCCCTGGCTAATGCCACCCCTCTCCTCCTGGGCCTGGCCTTCCAGGGGGGTGATGGGCGAGTTTGTGCCCTCAGGGCCCTCCCCCGGGGACAGAGCTCAGAGCTGTGCGCCCCAACACGCTGATTAGCTCCCAAACTCACTCACAGAGGTGGCTTTGACCCTGACCTAAGGGGTCTGCGAACTCTGTGGCCCTGAACAGACCCACAAGCGCTGGACGGACACCCGGGAAAACAGTTCTGGGGACCAAGAGAGGGGCCGACTTGCACCCAGGAAAATAGGAGAGAAGAGGCTCCTTAGGGTCCCCCCGAAGCTCCCGAGTGTCCCTAGGCAGGTGACTCTTCCACAGCGAAGTGAACATCCGAGGGTCAGGAAGCGTCAGTCCTTTCCGTCTGCAGTTTAAACTCTCGCCAGGTTTATGGCCAAGACACATAATGAGCTCATCACACACAAAGCAGCTCCAATGAGTGAGTCAGCAATAAGTCAACAGTCTTAATGGAAGAATTAATAACAGGCAAATGGGATTAGATTGAGAATCAGTTAACAGACCAGAAAGATTAAGAGCTTAGTAAAATGCAAGGCCAAGGACTGCTCTCAGGGCCCCCTCGAGTTTTTGGAGAGCAGCGCCCTCCCCCCTCCGAAGGCACGTGGGTGGGTGACGAACCAGGGTACCCACTGCCAGGTGTGCCGAGGCCCCTAGGAGGGGCCAGGGAGGGGGCTGAGCACAGGGTGCTTAACGCCAGCCTCTCTGGCGGCATCTTGATTCTTCATTACAGCACCGAGTGCATGTACATAGTAGCGGCCCAGAGACATGCAGGCGGGAGGGGAGAGCAGGGAGGGGGAGAGAGAGAGCAGAGGTACCCTGTGCAAACCCAGCTCCTACTGTGTCTCTGGAGCTGTACCCATTGACCGCGGCCTTGCTGCTCAGCTCGATCATCTGGTGCAGCCGCAGCTTCCGGCAGTAGATGGAGGCGGCCTCGGGCTCCAGGGCAATGATGAGCTGCTCCGCGTTCTCGGGGGAGGCCAGGCCCGCCTGGAAGACAGAAGCAGAGGCTGGGACCGGGGCTCCCTGGGGGGCTGCTCCCAGGACACCCCCACCTGGGGCTGACACCCCCAGGAAGGGACACTAGGGCCCTGCTGGTTTGAGGAATTCCCTCCATAGGCCTCTGCAGAGCTTAAGATTGGGGGTGATCATGTGCTGGGCCCTGAACGGGGTCCCCGAACACCACAGAGTGGCCTAAGGAAATGTACAAGCATCCCTGGGAAACACCAGACCCTCTGGGCCCCGGAGCCTCTTGCATCTGGGGCTTAACTAGCCCAGAACTGAGACACATGGGGGGAAAGTCCCCAGAACTTTGGAAACTGTTACAGGGGGGATGGTGGGTGGTCTGGTTTTGGCTGTAACAGGCCAAACAGTCTGATCGAGTCAGAGCAAGCCCCGCTCTCTGGTGGCCCAGGAAACAAATGGCCCATCGCCGGACCTCGCTAGGCAACATGGGGTTTTGCTGGATGGGAGTCGGACAGGAGGGCTCCAGGGCTCCAGGAGAAAGCCCCTCCTGGAATCCTGCACAGCGCCCCCTTCTGGAGGGTGGGTGGGGAAGCAGCTGCCGCTCCCTCATTCAAAGCCACTATCCCTTTCACAGCAGAAATGCTCTGCTCTGTGACATCTGGCTTGTTCCAGGCACGTGCCTCCGGGAGGCTCTGGGACCACCCTCTGAGGGGAGCAGGGAAAGGGGCTGGCATGGCCCCTAACAGGTCCCGGCCCGCCTCTCGTGGCCTTGAACTTGAGCACCAGGTCTTGCTTGTCCGTTGAAGCTGTTCAGGCCCGGGGGTTTCCTGCCTTCTATGTTTGTTGTCTTTGGTCCCGTTTCCTAGGGAACCTCAGATGCCGCACCCACTTGGTGAAAGGCCCCAGCTCCACACCCAGCTCATAAGGCCTCATCCTGGAGGCCGGGGAAGTCTGCCTGACGTCACACGTGCACAATGGCCTCTCACCAGGAGGAGCCGCTTACAGTCGCCGGGGGAAGGGGTTTAGCAGGTGCAATAACTGGGCGGGTCGGGAGGCCAGGTTATAGGGAAAAACGGAAAGGACTTCAGGATGCCGTCCCACTCCTTCACTCTGTACAGGAAGAAACCAGGGCTCGGAGAAGCAGGGTGGCCTGTCCCGGGTTCCTGGGAGGTGGGTCTCAGTCTCTTCAGCTCCAAGGTACTCGACCCATAAGCAGCCGAGCGACCCCGGCCCAGATCTCTCGCCTTGCAGACCAGCTCTTTCCTGGGTTCTCTGCTCTCCTGGTCTGAGTGACTCCAGCTGCTAGGGTGGGGCCCAGGCCTTCGGGAGGACTTGAACCAAACTCCTTGGTGCCTCTAATGCTCCCCTCAACTGGCTTAAAGGTACAGCCTCTACCCATTCACTCCGGGGCAGCACCTGATGACACACTGCCTATACTTGCCTATACCGTACCCCAAACCAACCAATTAATTCTGTCCTCTTGAGATACCATCAGCGGCAGGTGCCTGGGCATCTCCACTTTGCCAATCCCGAAGGCCTCCCAGCAGCGGGAAAACCTCAGATGAGAGAGGGCCGGGTGGTGCCGGAGAGACCAGGACAGAGTGACACACTCCTACGTTCCAACCAGCCCCCATGCTCCACCTCACGCTCCCAGTGGCAATGAGGGGCTGTGCCCCCACCAGCTGCTCCCACGGTGGCCAGTGGAAAGCTGAGGGACAGGCAAGAGGAAGCAGCTGGTGCGGGCAGATTCCACCTCCCAGGAGGGGTCCCAGGGCTGCCGTGGACTCCAGGAAAAGGAGGAAACAGGGGATCCGCCAGGCTCAAAACCCAGCCGTCTCTCTCTCGGGCCGGAGGGTCTGGGGCCCGAAGTGTGAGCTTTGTTTCTGCATAAACACGTGCAGTCTTCTCAGCAGAGGCCCTCCAGCCCGGCGCTGTCCGGAGACCCTGTCCGGAGGCTGGGGGTCTATTTGCCTGGGACCAGGCCAGGGTCACCCGAAGCAGAAGAGCGCTTGCTCTGCCTTTGCTAGTCCTGCCTCCGCAGCTGGGATCACATGGCTGCTGTGCATGTCCGGCCTCTCCTGCAAGAGGGTATGTCCTCCAAGGGCAGCAGCCAAGTCTCCTTGCCCCACCGCACACAGGAAGGGCTCAGAGGGTAGCTGCTACATGAATGAGTCGCGCATCCCTCCAGTCAGAATCAAGTTCTGCAATTTCCTGGCGCGCATCTCCGCAAGCCCGAATGAGACAAGCATTCTGCCTGCGTGACCAAGGACTCTACAAACAGACTGTTTCAACTAAGAGCACGCGACCCCGTTTGTCTCCTCCACGAATCTGGGGCGGCAGGAGCACCATCCAGCAGCTCCTTGGAGTGCTGCTTCATGGTCCCCTGCTCCCGGGGGGAGGAGCAGCAGGTGGTGACTCCAGGGAGGCCAGGGCGTGGGCGTCCACGCTGACTACAGGGCTCCCCCGCCCTGGCCCTGCCATCAGCTGGAAAAATCCGCCGGGGACTGTGTTTACAGCTGAGAAAAATGGCCAGACGGCCGGCGAGTGCGCCGCTGGCCGGGCGTCAAGTTGCAGGGGCCCAGCTGCACTGTCCTGGGCGTCATGGGGCGGTTCTTTTTGTGTGTTTTTCCTGATGTGGCTATTTGTCACTGCCATTTGTTCAGAAAGGGAGGCAAATGTAAGCTGCAACTCTGTGCTAGATGATGAAATCATCTGTAGGGAAACATTTATTTAATAGGCTCTGGAACCTCCTAGAGTGACACATTTTAGGCAAAATGCCTCTAGAGAGAAACTGTTTCCTGTCCGTGCAGCTCTCTGGACCCAGAGGAACTACCTCCCATTCTAGGTCTCTTAGGCCTCAGAGGAGGGACCAGCTGTTCTTTTTAAAATTTTTTTAATCCTCCCCGAAGACATATTTTTTTTATTGATTTAAGAGAAAGGGAGAGAGAGAGAAAGAGAGAAACAGCAATATGAAAAACATCAATCAGCTGCCTCCCAAACATTCCCCAACTGGAGATCAAACTCACAACCTAGGTATGTGCCCTGACCAGGAATCAAACCCGCAACGTTTGGTGTACGGGATGACACCCGCCCAGCTGAGCACCCAGCCAGGGCAGCACCATCCTTTCACTGAATGCTCTTCAAGGGTCTAAAGGTGCCCCAGCCTTCATAAAAGACAGAGGTTAACCTACTTTTTCAACGAGCGTTTGACACTAGCAGATATGTTGGAGTTTCACTGATGAAATAAAGTGGGAGATGCTGCCCAGGGCCTCGTCCCCTGCTCTGCAGCCAGGCCTCTGCCTCCTCCGGGCCGGTGGGAGGAGACACTCAGGTCCCAACGGACTGTGACATGAACTGGGGCTCAGGGAACCTCGACAGGCCTGGGAGGAGGGGCTCCGATTTCACCTGCAAGCAGGTTGATGGGCTAAGGGGCAGCACTTCGGGTGGGAGGGTTGATGGGCACTCTTGCATCTCAGAAGCTGGCTGGGCCAAGAAGTGCTTTTTGCTCAGCTTCTGTATTGGAGTTCTCCAGAGAATCCAATGTATGGATGTGTAGAAAGAGATTTATGACAATGAGTGGCTCACATGAATATGGAGACTGACAAGTCCCGAGGTCTGCAGGCAGCAAGCTGGAGGACCAGGAGAGCCCATCATGGTCTAGTTCCCTAGCTGGCAGGTTCAAGACTCAGGAAGAGATGTTTCAGTTTAAGTCCAAAGGCAAAAAAAATCCAAAACACCCAAAAACCCCAAACCCAATGTCCCCGTTTGAAGGCTGCAGGCGGGAGGAATTCCCTCTTGTTCTAGGTAGGTTCTACTCATGCCTTCCACTGACTGGGTGAGGCCCACCCCCCTTACGGAGGGCAATCTGCTTTATTCGGGCTATTGATTTACAGGTTAATCTCGCCCCAAAATACCCTCACAGCAACACTCAGAATGATTTTTGAACAAATATCTGCATACCCCTTGGCTCAGTCAAGTTTACACAGAAAATTAACCATCACAGTACACATCTTTGTTATTCCATAGACTAAATGGGGGGCAGTGAGGAGGGAGAGTTGGAGAGATGCTCATTTTGGCCACAGGTTAGCAAGCTTCATTTCCACTTTGTCACTGGGACTCAGGCTGGAGAGACTGCAGAGAAGTCAGCAAGGCAGCTGCACCCCTGCACGCCTTCTGCTCCCCAGAAGTGTGAGGCTTCAGTGCACCACTGGGCCGCAAGCTACCTGAAAACAGGGCCAGGCTCCGATGCACAGGGCACAGGTATGAATCCAGGGCCTCGCCCAGCCCTGGCACATAGAACACTCCCGGCACAGGTTTGTCTGATGAGTCAATGACTGAGTGAGCAGGGACTGAATGGCCCCTGCCATCTTCAAATCCACTCAGTGACTGTAAACTGGACACAAGTATCAAATCAGAATTTCAAAGGGTCAAAACTTCAGCTGCACGGCCCTGGCCAGGTGGCTCGGTTGGTGACAGCCTCACCCCAAACACCAAAAGGTTGCAGGCTCCATTTCCAGGCAGGGCACATGCCTAGGTTGTGGGTTCAATCCCCTGTTGGGTCGTGTATGGGAGGCAACTGATCAAAGTTTCTCACATCGGTGTGTTGCTGTTATCTTTTTTCTCTCTCTCTCTCTCTTCCTTCCTCTCCTCTAAAAAATCAATTTAAAAAACAAAACAAAGCATATCCTTTGGTGAGGATTTAAAAAAACACTGCACAATCGCGGCACCAAACAAAAGCTCCCCAGTACTGAGGAGACGGGCCTGTTTGCAGAGGGTCTCCGGCTTCAGAAAGCGAATTCCCTGCATCCAAGGAGGCGGGTCGCTTGTGCCAAACCCCAGGGGATGCCACCCCCCACCCAACCCCCATTTCCTTCCTCCTCAGCTGCCCCAGGGCCTCTCCCCTCCCCGTCGCTGCCTCAGCCCCCACCCCACGCCTTCAGAGATGCTGTCCTTGGAGGAGGCCCCCTCCGCCCCCCACCCAGCTCTAACAGCCCTGACACATCTGCTGGTCACTGCTCCTCTTTCGTTTTCAGGCTAAAAATAAGAGCTGACCCTTTTCTGGGTCACACGTTTGTTGCTGGAGGCGTCCTGTGGGCTGGAAATGAGGGTCAAAACCATGAAGCTTGAGTGTCCGTCCTGGGAACACTCAGACCAGACACGGGGCCGTGTCGCCGTAGACAGCCATTCCCGGGGCCTGTCTTTGGACACGGCCCCAAGGCCACGGCCACGTCCACGGAACAGCCCAGGCTGCCCGGGCTTCTGTGGCAGCTGAGGTGCGCCTGGGCCTCTCTGTTTTTAAAGGATTGCCTCTTTTTGGAACTTCCACCCTCTTCCTTCATCCCTGTGAAAACAAGTCTATTTTTGGCAGATACATAGGCTGGGCCAGATTCTCACGCTGAGCAGAGGGAGAGAGACAGTCTAGGGCGGGACGGGGGGAGGGGGGGGGCACTGGCCTGACTCTACCTGCCGCCTGGAGTGAAGCCCCAAGTGTGGAGTATAGTCCATGACGCCGGGGTGGGGGTGGGGCCCACTTTACTACCCTGCTGCGCTCAAGGCGGATGCGGTGGGCGTCTGACAGCAAAGGTTCGTCCCTGTGGCCACAAACTCAGTGTCGGAGGCAAGTCCCCTGGCGGAGGGCAAGGACACCTCTATCCCTGGCGGCATTCCCCGCCCGGCTCAGGCGGATGCCTGTGGAGACTGACGTCCAGGGCACAGAGTTGGCCGAGCCACAGGGTGGCTTTCATGGCCCAGGGGAGGCAGTAAACACGCAGGAGCCAGCTCTGCCCTCGGATTAGGACACAGATCGGCAGGACCAGCCTTTCTTGCCAGGACGTCAGGCTCTCATGGAAGCCCCGACCCAGCACAGTTGTCTGCAACCGCGTGAGGGCTGGAGGCTGGGAGGGTTTGAGGCACCAGCGGAAAGGGGGGGGGCGTGGAGGGGGGCCAGGCACCCCCAAGGGATGGGCTGGTCATCGGCCCTGGAATGCCGTCTCCATGGCACTGTGTTGACTGGCATGCTCCTTAGCCATGCCCTGCCCTCATCCAGGTGTCTGCCACCGGGCAGGTACGACAGCCCTCACCCCTCTGGGGCGACCATGCGTGGTCCTGTGAGTTCACAGGTGAGGCGGGCAGAGGGAAATGGACCAGTAGGTCCTGGCTGCACCTGCACAGCTTTCTGCCCCGACACCAAGCGGGTGCCGGGTTCATACCATGGGCCTTGTCTTTACTCCTTTCTCATCCGAATCTCCTTGCTTTCCAAGCCTTGTACTTGAAAGTCTCGAGTAAGTGACGTGCCTCCAAGCCCCAGTTTGAAATCTTAGCCCAGGGACCCCACCGTGGCAACAGGACCTGGAAATGCATAACGCCCCTCCCCTGCCAGTCTGAGCCCGTTCCGCCCCCGGGAGGCAGCTGAGGAACGGGAAGGCTCCTGGTGCCCCTGCCTGCGGGAGACCCGGCTGCCTCCCAAGGAGGCCTACGCACGCTGGACACCCGAGGGGGTGATGGTCACCACCGTGGGCACCTGAGCCCTGTCCGCTCCCGCCCCGCGCTCACCTGGTAGGCAGCTTGCCTCATGAACTGCTTGGCGGGCTGCTTCCAGATGGCAGGCACCGTGATGACCCATCTGACATCAGAGTTCTCGAACTCCGAACCCGCCTGGTCGCTCAGCTCCTACAGCCAAGGAAAGGGCGGCAGGTCAGGCGGACGTGGCTACATTTACTGAGAGTTTAGCCTGCATCAACACTGTTATACCTCATCTGCAGTAATCCCTCCAAGAATACTGTTAGGGAGAGATTGTAACTGTGCCCCTTTCCTGCAGGTGGCAAACTCAGGCTCAATATACTGTCTTTCTGATGATTACACGGCTAGAAGGGGGCAGAGCCAAAATCTGGACTCAGCCCCAGGTCTATCTTGACTCTAAAGGCCAATGTCTTAACTACATTGTGACACATGGTCTCGTATCTAGAACAGTGTCTGGTGGCAACTGTCAGAGTCGTCACTGTCATCTTCCTCCCCTCCAGCCCAGCACGTGAGGGGATTTTCCTGATGGGACAGGAAGGATCTGAATGGCCTAAGCAAGAACCATGCTGTCCTTAGCTCTGGGTCAAGGTTACACCATGTAGGTAAAGGGGATGGGCAGAAGCCTCAGAGGTTTCCAAAAGTATGCCTCTAGCATAGTGCCGACTCAGTATTTCCATCCGTAAAATGGGGAGAATAAAACTAACCCCCGGCATAAGCGGCAAAATTAAATGAGAACACACGTGGAACGTCTGGCACGGAAAAGACCTCTGATAAATGCTGCTTCCTTCCTTCCCCTCCCCTCCTGTAGCCACGGTCACCAGACAGACATGAAACCAAAGCGAAACGCACACCAGGGCACTTCTGCACCAGAGTCAGCGTCGTGGACTCGGCTCAGAGGAACCGGCTGGTGATTTTTGTTTTTCCTGGTGGATGTCACACTTTCCCTATTGTTTCAAATGGTTATCTTGGGACTGACCCACCCTCTCACTGAACTAACTTCCTCTATGATCTGTAAGCTTCCTTTTTTTTTTCATTTTTAATTGTGACAAAATACATATGACAAAATGTATTATTTTTAAGTGTACAGTTTGGTAGTGTTAAGTATATTCAGCAAACTTTTTTCTTTTTCCCCGCTTTGGGCCACCATGAAGTAGCCGATTTGGGGGTTTTATTTCTGTTTTTTTTGTTGTTGTTTTTTAATCATGTGTTATTTCCTTGCGGGTCTGCCCTGGGCGTTAAAGCAGGTGAGCGTGTGAGTGTTGGGAAGGATTCTGAGCACACCTACCGCCACCCAGACAATTTTAGACTCTGAGCAGGAAGAGTCGGACCTGAATGATGGCTTCCCTGGCTGCAGGGGAAGTTGCTTAGATCCGCCTCCACCAGCCGCTGGAGGACAGCTGGGAGGGGAAGGATCCTGACATTAACGGGACGTCTCCCTTGTCCCGCGCTTGCGCTCGCTTCCTTCATGAACGAGACCACCATGCACGTCCACCCGCCCCTCAAATGCCAGGCCGCCCCTTGTGAAGGCCTCGCTCCTGTAAATCTCCTTGAGCAGCTTTCTTCATGGAATTTTTTTTTTAAATATATTTTTATTGATTTCAGAGAGAAGAAGGGAGAGGGAGAGACAGAAACATCAATGATGTCTCCTACGGGGAATCAAGCCCGAAAACCAGGCATGTGCCAGACCGGGAATCGAACCTCGACCTCCTGGTTCAAGGGGCCACACTGTTTTCCCAGTGGCTGTGCCATTTTCCAGTCCCCCCTGCAGTTAGGAGGGCGCATCCTGCTCTCTCCCTCCAGGCACAACCTAGGTGGCGGGTGCACCCCCCACCCCCACCACAGGCACCTCCGCGTGTCCTACCTTCAGCGCCTGCTCCTTAAAGTACTGCAGGGCGTAAGCAAAGATTTCTAGGGCTTTGATCTTCTTGCCGTTGGCTGCTGTCAGGTCTGTATCCAAGGTGAGGTCCTGGCAGAGAGAGGAAGGAGACAGTAAGAAGACAAGGAGAGACGGCCTTCTAGCTTCAGGGACAGCTGCCTGCAGCTGTGGGGGGTGAGGGGAGGCGCAGGGGGGACGCGGCTGGTGGCCATATTTGTGTTTCCCAATGTGTGAGAGGCAGCCCAGGATGCGAGTTCCCCAAAACAGGCCTGGAGCAATGTCCTTGCACTGTGCAGGAGGCCCTGGCTGCTCCCCTCAGCGCCACCTCCGCTTCTCTCTCCTCCCTCCCTCCCTTCCGAATCCTCTGGGAGCGAGGTTTCAGGGCAGCCACAACCCAGGAAGAGAGAACGGCAGCAGGCACCGCTAGTGCAATTTACATGTTATTTGCACTCGGGACACACATGGTCACCCTCAGAGCCCGCACGGAGGCCTACATAATCATGCCAACTCACTGACATGCCCGATGCTGAACAGACATGAAGCGTTCATTCCCCAGTGAGCTGCCAACCAAGTCCCCAAAATAGAAGAGCTCCTATTTTAAGGCTCTGCAGCCTGATCCACTGGGAGCCCAGCATCGCGCCTCGCTTCCCCGCCAGGAACGGAGCAGGTGTGAGTGCAGTCCTCGGGTGGAGGGTGCTCTGCAGATGCTGTATGGACTGGGGTCATTCAACAATGAGGAGAAACGTCCCCCAGAGTGGGGATGGGCAAAGAGAGCCCCTGCGCATCCGGAACCACCAGGCTCATTACTGCTGGGGAATCAGCGGGGCCTCTGGATCGATCCCGCTGGGCAATTAGGCGTTGCCTCTGGAGTGTGAGGGGGCATCGAGCCGCTAAACCAGCCTCGTGAAGCCTGTCAGTCATCCGGACCCATCTGCACAAGCCCCTCCTCCCCACCAGCCACTACCCTCCCTGGATGCTCAGAAAGACACCCCAGCTTTTGGGCGGTGGCTCCCCGTCTCAGAAACGTGGCCGAGCACCTGGAAGCCACAGGCTCAGAATTTTAAAAATTCCTGTGTGTCCACCTGCGCAAGCTGAAGCGCAAGCACTGAATCCCCTCAGGTGAAAAGGGAGGCTGCGTTTCTAGCAGGAGCCCGTCTGCTTCGTAGAGAGACCATCACCCCAAGAGCAGAGCCCTGGGAAGTAGGTGCTGGTGGCTGGGTTTCCCATTAGTTTTGTCATCTGCAAACACGTAACAGCGACAAATGAAAGCATTCAGAGAAGCTAGCAACTGACTGGACTTAGAAGTACCACATGGCTCTAGAGCTCTGCGTGTTCTGATTCCTCTTCTCCTTACAAAACCCCCATGGCGAAGGCACTGTCAGTGTGTCCATTGCACGGATAAGGTAAAGCAAGGCACGGAGAGGCCAGGGACTGGGATTAAGCATCTGGAAGGGGCCGAGGCAGGACTTAAACCCAGGTTGCCTGCCCTAGAGTCCTGGCCTTACACACCATCGCCATCCTGAATCTCTACGGAATAACGTGTTTACACGGAAACAGTTCTCTCCTCTGGCCCAGCCTTTTCCATGCAGCTTGAGGGGGAGGCCGTCATTGACCTGGACAGTGTGTCGGGAGCAGCCCTGCCCCGGGAGCCGGGCCGCCAGTTGCTGGGCACTTGATTTCCTGAGCTTGCCCCTCCCCCACATAGGGGGTTAATGGGCCACTCGTTACTTCCGGACTGGCTACACTGCCCTCATCCCCCCCAAAGGCCCCGTCCCCACGACCCTCCTTCAGGATCCCCTAATCTCCCAGTAATCCAGCAACTGAAGGGGGCCTCCTATCATTGGGTCCCCAGCCCCCTAGGCCAGTGATGGCGAACCTGTGACACGCGTGTCAGAGGTGACACGCGAACTCATTTTTTTGGTTGATTTTTCTTTGTTAAATGGCATTTAAATATATAAAATAAATATCAAAAATATAAGTCTTTGTTTTACTATGGTTGCAAATATCAAAAAATTTCTATATGTGACACGGCACCAGAGTTAAGTTAGGGTTTTGCAAAATGCTGACACGCCGAGCTCAAAAGGTTCGCCATCACTGACCTAGAGGGTATTAT